TGGCAAAAACTGTTATTCTTGTGTTTTATCTGTGTGTTTAGGACAGAATCTGGTGCCTATAGATGCCCAATATATATAACAAATGTTAATAAAAATGGATCTCTGTATTGGGGAAATGTTTCTTACAGGTAAAAATTCCCTGTTGCTATTAAGCAATTCAGGCATAGTTTTATTTAATCTCTGAAAATTCCAGTACAGTGTACTTGGAAGAATAGTTTCTGACAATAAAACCAGTGATGGAATAAAGAAAAAAGAAATTGAAATAAAGATATAATAAAAAAAAACCTCCCAATGTGCGTCATTCTTCCTTTCTCTGGTTAATTTCAGGGGCACTCCCATAGGGTCTCTTTACCATGTATGGATTTAAAATTATTGATTTAAACTTCCTAAGGAATTTGATTTTCTGCATAAGGGTTAATTCACTAGAATACACTGCATTTCCTTGCATGTCATTAGGGTCTTGGAGACACCATTAATAGGCAATGGATCTTAGAGTCACAGCTAATCCTCGTGCTTTCTTAGAACTACAAGTAGTTGCAAACATAAAAAGTTTTTCCCTAACAAAGGACATCTTGACCCTGTGCTAAATCTGTATCCATTTCTTTCCCCAACTCTGAGCTCTGAAGGCTCAATTTAGCATCCCCCCCCCAAAAAAAATTGGGGCCGTGTTCTTTTCCATTTGTACCTCATTACCAACAATGAAGACTTTAAGAACAGGTTTGTTGGCTGGCAGTTTTGCCATGATATATGACAGAACAGAATACAGACTTTCTTTTTATCATATGTAGGTCTCCAAGTTATTGGTAGGAGTACATATTTTCCAACTGAAACATAAAAATGGGATAGTCATTTTGGATGCTTAGTCAACCAAGGATACAAATCCCTTTGACCTCCCAGGATGCTGAAGATAACCCACAGGTGGCTAGCAAGGTTAATGACAAGAACTGGTGTTTTCTCACTAAAGAATATGCAACCATATTTCATTATGAAAGGTTACTGTCTCCTCAGTGCATTAACTATGCAGCATTAACAACATTTTCATAAATTTAGTAAGCAGCAAGAGGGACACTTCTTATAAGTGCTGGCAAAGGCATTTTTATATTTTATATTCCCCAAGAAGGCTTCTGTGCTCTCCTTTAGGCAAATTCAGTTCTAATACTAGCTTTCTATTCTTGTGTCTTTGCCTCTAGGAGGGAAAGAACCCCAGAGTCCTCATCTTTATAGACCAGGTTAGTTAGAAACGTATGATCAGTGCCTGGATCATATCCAGCCAGCAGATCTTTCTATTTGCCTTGCATGGTGTTTAAAATGGTTTGAACTAGTTGCCAAAAATTAAAAGACAGGAGACCTACATGCAAAAAGAAATCTGAAATTTGGCAACGCTGGGCCAGCTTTGCCATTTGGTAACTGGAAAGAGGTCACAGTCCAGTGCACCTTCCCTTTGTAGGAATGAGAAGGAGGCAGGCACTGCCTCTGGGCAGTTAAATTATAAGGATGCCCTGTCAGAAAGGCTGTGGCCCACATGCAATAAATTTTGCCACCACTGCCACCATCTCCTTGACTCCTGTCTGAGCCCTTCAGGCATTTGAGTCTGTGACCACTGCCAAAGCCTTTGGAGGAAGTTGTTGCCTGCAGCACACATCTTGATGAATGAGGGCTGGCCTAGGGGGGTTTCTTTGATATCTTGCCCACAGAGATGGAGACACAGTGTTTGTTTGACTTAGCTCCTCTTTTTCCTGAGAAGAAATCTGCACGATTGTGCAGGAATTGGATTCAAAGGCTAAGTTTCCATGTCCTCATGGTTCTCCCTGCTTTCCCAACCTCCATATTCCCCCACTCCTACCCCATGCTGATTTGCCACTCCCTCTGTTCATAGCCTATGAGAAGATGTGCCTGAACACAATATAGCAATTTCTCTGTTATGACACAGGGATGTGACTCTGTTAATGTAGAACTTTTGAGGTAGACCTTGTGAGCCATCTTTGGATGAGTAGATTCTAGTATCTATCTCTGTTGACAGCTTGCTCTTATTAAACACTGCCCCAAAGTGAACCCTGCAGTCCCTGATAATGGATGATACCAAAGAGTGAAGGAACCCCTCTGTGGCCTTAGCAGACCTGAAAAATAGTTTCTCTATGACTCTCCAAGAACCATAGCTGTTTTGTTTTTTTTTAAAGCATCGAATCTGACAATCATCAAAATCATTTACAAATTTTACCTGTATGTGATGCGACGTAAGGAGTGATAAAATAAAGTTAATATTATACCTATCAGAGAGTGTATAAATTAATTCATAACTAAGCCCAGTTGAGTGATATTTAGGAGTCTGTTTTGGCAGAATGAATTTCAGATTGAGACTGAGTATTGGCCCTGCCACTTTAGTAATCATGTGAACTTGGGAAATCTACTTAACTCAATGGCCCTCACAGGAAATATACCTTAGGTTCTGCATCCATAGATTCAACCAACTATGGAGCAAAAATATTTAGGAAAAAAATTGCATATGGACCTAACATATATGGACTATTTTTGTCATTATTCCCCAAACAACTCAGTAAAATAACAATTTATATAGCATATATATTGTATTAGGTATTATAAGTCATCTAGAGAAGATTAAAAGTATGTGGGAGATCCTACTTAGAATAAGTTATACTCCATGTATGTCTAATAGGCCAAAGTACATTCTACTGTCAAGTATATCTAAAAAGAATAAAAAATGTATATGGAAGGATGAGTATAGTATTATTTGCAAATACCACATCATTTCAGATAAGGTACATGAGCATTGTCAGATTTCATATCCACAAGGATGGAGGAGGGAACTGGAATCTTGCCCCATGGATACCAAGTGGGATGACTGCATTTAGATTATAGCATGATGAACAGAACTCAGAGGGGTTAGGATTTCTGGAATCTGTCTCCTCCTCCATTTTACTAGTTGGAACAAATTAACTTCTTGTACCACTATTAAAACAGGAATGAAAATAGTAATTTCCTAATAGGATTCTGTGTGATTAAATGAGATAATGCTTGTGGTAGGTCTGCAGAATTGTGGGCCATTGGAGAGCCCAGCCTGGTGTAAAAGAGACTATCAAAAATATAGGTTCCCTTCCCTCTTACTGCTTCGAACCTGAAGAATTTTAGCAAATAGGAGAGACTAAAGGTTGCTTTGCCCATAAATATTTAACAAATTGATTTTTACAGTGGAAAGGATATAAATACATGAACATCAAGCTGTTTTGCTGAAGGTGTGACTTCTTAATTGGGGCAGTTTGTGTGGAGAGTTAAAAATAATTTTAGAGTTTGAAGTATCGCAGGATAACGCAATGGTTAAAACAAAAATAAGAAAGTATCTTTAATAATGTGAGTTACTGTCTGTTCCCTTTAGGAATGAGTTCCAGGCTTCAGAAGTCTTTATCTAGACACCCAGATCAAGCAGAATACAAAGGTCACAATGCCAATTTTATCTGTAACTTGTTTTGCAGTGCCAGAGTCTTGGTTTTTAGGAAAAGACTGTGGTTGCTATGGAACTGTTAATAATGATTGCTGCTTGTACCTCAATTCTTCATACTCCCAATCTTCAATATAAAATCAGTTAGATTTGGGCTGTAGGGAAGTACACAAACTTTTGAGCAGGAATTAACTGGGCTTAGGCATTAGTGTCTTAATGTAGGAAATGACTTTCATTATAACCTTTACCTGCACTGGCAGCTGGACAGTGTCAAAGCAGCTTCTGCTTTCCTGATAGTCAGCTGAACCTCATGAGGTTCAAACTTGACTCTTCTGGGTGGGCACTGCTAAAAGCAGAGACATTTGGGCTTTTATCATAATAGAATATAAAAAAAAATCTGGTTTGTGCAGAACTGGACTTAGCATGTTTCTCTTATTTGAATGTATAAAAAGGAATAGTAATTCAGTCATATGCTAGATTCCTAAGTTAAATGAGGAAAAAATTCCTGTTGAAATATGTATCTGCATTTTTAAATAACAAATATTGTGGACAAATGACATTTTTTTGCTATATTTTTGCAAGATTTGTGATCCATGTAATGGATGCTTCTTGCTCTGGAATTATATTTCTAAGATATGGATCTCAGTCTGTATTAATGTATAACTGATGTTTGGGGAAAACTAATTGAGTTCTTGAGCTCCAGGCACATGAAGTTAGGAATGGGTTATTGGATGGGTGGGAAGAAGACATATCTAATTTGAGGACTTTATAGCCTCTTCAGTATGCAAATAATTCAACAATAATACAGAATAAATAGCTTCCATTTCCACAACTGCTGCTCTTTCTAATCCCTACAGTATGTGTTTCCTAACAATTATCTGGCTTAATTCTCTGTTTTATTGCTTTAGATTTTAATGCTTTGAATGTGGAACATAGAATAAATGTGATTGTCAGTAAAACTTTAAAAGATGCCAGGGTGCAGTTTTCCAGTGACAAGCAGCTAGTTTATGGGAACAAATGGATAAAAACATTTTTGAAAAGGGGATGTAAACATTACACTAGCTCTGGATCCTCCAACTCCTCCTCTGTAAGAAGCTACAGTAGCTCTTAAAAGGTTAAACAGGCATGCTTTGGGCCCTGCATGAAATTCAGTCTTCTACCCAGTCTATGGCTGTACAGAAGACAAAGGTTTATCTGAGTGAATAAACTGAACCCGCAGTTCGATAAATTCATGTTTGTAGAACTATTTAAGGTATTAAAAGGTCTGGTACAATATAATAATAATGCAGATGGAACTAACAAATCCATCAAGCTACTGCAGTAAATTCAGATGCTATCCAGAGCTGGCAAGGTAATGTCAAGAAAGTTAAACTTGAAGAATGAGAGTTGGATTTCTAAATGAGATCAGGAAAAAAAGAAAGCAGAGTTAATAGGGGAAATCAAGACTGAAACAATCAACATTACAGCAACATTTGGAGGAGGGTTTAAAAATCAATTCTTTCTGCTTGTTGTAAAATTGTTCTGCCAAAAAAGTGACATTGTTATATACCTTTTATTTTTTGGTTTATTTAATCTTCTTTAACACAGCCATTGTTAGTTCACAAATCCAATATGTGGGGTTACATTATTATGAAATAAGACAAAACTGAATGGGTTATACCATCAATACATTTTGCTAATCCTATCCCTTTTATTAAAGACAAAGCATAGTTTGTTATCATTGTCTTGGATTACGTCTATTTGTTAGATTATTTGTAGTGGTATATACTAAAGGTAGGGCATTTGCTCCCTGGGTCCACTATCTTTGAACTATTACTTAACAAAACATTAGCATTTTGTAATTAAAAATAGATAAAGCAATATGTTAGTATAATGTTAGGCAACAATAAAAATTACCCTGTCTGAATGAATGTGTACACATATATAAACATGCTTTAAGAAGTTACAAAACATTAATATTCTGTGAAATTAATATATAAATAAAATATGACCTGGAATGAAATTACTATTATGTACAAAAGAGGAAAAATAGCACTCTTCCCTTCTCAAACCTATAGACTTTAACAGCTTATAAACTAACATCACATTATATGTAGTATAGAGGTTATTTCAAATTTAGAAAACATTAAAGAATAGTATGGTCCAACTTCCTACAAAGACAGTACATATTATTAACTTTTCGAAGATGTATACTTATTTCAATGTTAAAGAGACAACATTCTACTGAACTTCTTCCAAGGAATAGTTGTACTTCCTTTTGATTATTGAGAACAACAATGCAGCTTTAACACAATAAAATATTTGTTGTAGTATTTGAAAATATTAGAAAATAAAATATTGTGAAGTTATAACATGTTATTCCAGGATATAGAAATATTTTTAGTATTGTTATTTAAAGAGTGAAATAATTAGCTTAATATTGTAAAGATTTCACTTTTAAGCACATATTTTTCCCTCTGTCTTCATTCTCCTTGGCATTCTTTACTTTCCATTTCTCTTATTTCTCAACTTCTTCCTCTTAGTTTTCTTTTCTAACAAGCCTTGCCTTTACTCCATGCTGAATGTCATTAGCTATCATTGTCTTTCAACTTTCCTTCATTTCCAAAAAAACAATGGGTCTTATTAACTGAAAAACTGCCTGAACATTCCCTTCTACCTTTAGTAAATATTTGCTTCTTAAAATATAGCTGTTTTTACCTTACACACGTATGAATATTGTGTATCACCCACTTAAAGATTCGATTCACAGAAAACTGTAGAAATTCAATGGATGACTAATGGCACATGATTCAACAAGCTGATGGAATGACAAAAAATTAATCACATTTCACAACTGGTATTGTAACTGTCCTCTGGTTTTCTCGACTAAGCCAAGTGGATCAGTGTTTTTTCAACTCCTCCATTTCTTCTTCCTGACAATTTTGGAGAAATTCTACAGCAACAGAACCTAAGAGCAAATTGAGTGGATCCTCTGTCAGGTTGCTTTGTTGGCCTCATGTACGTACGTTGCCACTGTGTGGCCAGTGGAGACTCCCTGGACAATGACATTAATGAGTGGGCAGTATGGAGATAGGGAGGAGCTGGTTTCCAGGCTCTGTCGCCCATTTAACCTGGGGCACAGGCTGGCGGCCCTGGGCTCCAGGTTTAGGCGGTTTGGTCCACCTGGAGCACAGCTGGATGCACGGGTTCCTCATTCGACTGCTCTATCACCTCTGAGGTCAGCATGTAACCACCTTCATAGCACACCTTCTGTGCCTGTTCCAGGGCCACCGGCTCTTCTTCTTCATCTTCCACGATTGTCAAGTCAATGTTGCTGTCCATCCCAGAGTTATTCCCTCTGAAGGCCCCCTTCTCAGTATCCCCTTCTGTGTTCTTCCCTTCCAGCAGGGAACTGGGGAGGGATGCTTCAGAAAGACCCTCTGCAAGCGAGCCCTCTTCATGGTCATTTGGCATCTGCTCACTGCTTGCCATGTCTTCTGACTTGCTCTCATTTTCTGCAGGGCTTTCTCCCTCTCGGACTTTCTTTCGACCAAAAGTGAGGGGAGAAACCTTGAAGGGGGAACTTTTCCCCGAGGATGTTTTCTGGTGATTGGATGTGAGAGATTTCTTAATCTTCTCTCTCCTCTCTACAGATACGATCTTGGTCCCCAGCTTGTTCATCTTTTTCTCAATGTTCTGGCGAGAAAAGGCTTTCTTGAGGCTATCTACTTTCCTGAGGCTGGATCTTTTTATTTTCTCTGCCCTACTTTCTTCCATCTTTTCCTCTGCACTGTCTTCCAGGGTCTCCTCCTCGTGGGCTAATTCATCATCGGAGGAGAGGTCCACCGTGTGCAAGGTTTCCTCCAGGGACTTGTTCTCATCAGCAAGCTCCTCCTTCCCTTCCACTGGGCTGGGAACCGGCTCTTTCACAAACACACTGGCAGGGATCTCATTTTCTTCCTGAAAAGATGGACAATGTAGATGGACAATGTTAATAGCATATTTCACAAATGGTCCTAAATGGATGTAATGGGTGTGTCTTTTCTGGGGGATAAAAATGTCAGAAAAGTGGTTGTGGCTTTGATTTTCTGGACTGGGGAGCATTCATTCTAAATTGGGCAAGTCCTTTCCCTTAGGCTGGATAAGGCCAAGGTCTGCCTGTTGGGAATAGCATGAGGACAGCTGGCAAAAGCGCTATCAGTGACAGGCAGCAGGGAAGTGGGCTGTGACTCAGATAGACCAGGAAGCTGCCTAGATAAAAGGAGCTAAAGTAAGTACTGTACTGTGAACCCAGAGGCCCTCTCTTTCCTACCCTCTCTCCAGGTCACAGGGCTCAGCTGCTGCCAAAAACCTATTGCAAAAGCCCTGAAGTTTGAGATGAATGATCAAAGATGGGGGTTGGGGGAGAAAACAGAGAAGTCCTAAAGTGCCAGACACTATGTAAAGTCTTGTTTCGTTCCCTCCCCAGCTAGATGTCAGCAGTGAAGCTCTGCTCAGAAGCACACAGGTGTCTTGCTGATGACATCATTTGAGAGTAAGAGGAGCAAGGGCTCACCTTCTTGAGGCTCCTGCTCATGAAGGTCACGAAGCAATGTGTTTTAGGATAGGCTTTGTGGGAGCTCAGGGGTAGGGGAGATACCAGGGTCATTTTTAGAGTTGTGAGGGATTACACTGACAGGCATTGCATATCAAGTCTCTGTTGCTAAATAGTTTCTTTGGGCAAGAAGCCTTTGGCCCTTATCTCCATCTAATAGTAAGGAGAGAAGTTTGAAAAGCTGCCCACCCTCTTCCATATTCCCAGAACATCCCTCTAGATGGCCTTGCAATAATAGTTCAGGGTACAAAGTCCAAGGACTTGCTGCCAGAGTGCTGGGCAATGGTGCTTCCATGCTCACCAGGGAGGTTGAATCCATATTTTTATGGTTTTCTTTAAATATTAGACAATGAGAGGCCTTCAGCCAGGTGCCATGACATTTTCACTGGAAAAAATGGCACAGGATCGGATGTGTGGCAGAAGGCCCCAGTCTCCGTCTTTGCTGTACTGCTAAATGGCTGTGCAGCTCAACAAATAACTTAATCTCCTTGGGTCTCAGTTTCTTCCAAATATGAACCAAAAGGATTTGACCTAGATTAGCAGCTTTCAAACTGCACTCCCAGGGGCACCAGGGTTTCTGCAGGAATGTGGGAGGGGGCAAGTCTGCTGAGCCCCTTGCCACCCCTGCTGCCATCAGAGCCTCAAGATGACCTGATTATATCTTGGGCTGCCCAGTAAAATTTCAGTTTGAAAATGACTGGATTTAGTGGGCTTAAAAGTCTACTTGAGATCTAAACTTCATGCAAAGTTCATGTTAATGGTAAAGACTTCTTTTCTGGCTTTGTAATTTTGAAACGTCTATAAAATTGCATTATAATTGAAAATATGCTCTGAGTATGACTATTTTTTAACTTCTTGATATGAAGATTAAGTGAACAAATTTTTGATATCATAGAGAAACTTAAAACTCTCTCCTTAACTACTGAAGAGCATAATTACATTACTCTGAAGAGATACAGGTCTTTGCCTTCCCTTATACACACACTCATATAGTATCCTGTTCATTAATTGGTTAGAAACAAAGGAGAAAGTCCTGGGAGAGGTGAAGAGCAAAAAAGTCTGTTTAAACAGAGACCATGTGAGAGGGAAGTTATTACACATCCTGTTTCCTAACGCTCTCCTCACACCCTCCCATTTTGTATGTCATGGAAAAAGTTAGGTACACAGTGTGAGAAAAAGTGAAGAGGTGAAAGGAGCATGGAGTTACTAGGAGTCATTTGTGACCTGGGCTTTTGCAGATAGCCACTTTTCTCTTGCTTCAAGCTGAGTTGCTTAGCTTTACTGGAAAGCACTCCCCATGAAGGCAGGAATTTTCATCTCTTATTCCCTGCTGTGTCCTCCACACCCAGAGCTCAACAGGGGCTTGTCCAAGAAGTGCTCCTTGGGTAAGGTGGCTTTCTAAGAAGGTCCCTAGGGGGTGGGAGTGCAGATGGCTACACTGTCCTGTGGGGCTTGAGGACTACCAAATAATGGCCTGTCTCTGTACCAGTTTGCTGGATGCTGGTGTCCCTGGAAAATGAGGAGAAAACAAGGCAGGGCAATGGTTTCCCTTTTAAAAGGAAGGATTTTATTCTCTGTGGGTGAGTATTACTGAAAGCAGGGAGACAACAGAAATAGCTAGGGCTCTGATGCTTAGTCCAGAAGCGAAATTTCTTCTGGGGTTTGACAAGAGGGTTGGGAAGGTTTGACAGATGTTGCTTGCAGGAAAGGAAGAAACCAAGAGTTCAGTGAAATGTTATTAAAAGTTCTCAGGGAGGAGAGCAAAAACTCAGGCAGAAAACTGTTAAAAATAAGCATTGGTTATCAGAGAAGTGGTACATTTTATATAGCATAATCTTTCAGGGTAATCAAAAGTCATAAATTGGATAACTTCCCTTTCTTTAACCCTAACTAAAGGTAGGTATATTAATTGTACTTCTAAAAGAATTAAACTACTATTATTTCAGTTTTCCTTAAATTAAGTTTTAGTATTAACCAAACATAGTTTCTGTAAGATCTTAAGACTCTTTTGTCTCTATTTTCACCTATCCTCTGAGGATAGCTTTGAGGAAAATGTTTTAGAAGGTGAATCAGAAGAGATCATTGGTAGATACAGGCTGAATCTGTGGGGTGGGAGCAGGTGTGGAGGGTAGGTGGAAACCCAGTTGAACTCTTTTGTAAAATGCCAGGGAAATTTATATAAGAACTCTTTTGATGCCAACTATGGAAATTAACCCAGCAGGAACAGAGATAATCCAGAATGAGCTGGATGTGTCTTTGAGTGAGATACATCTTCTTGGCTAACTGCTATGCTTCTGCTGTCATTTTAATTACTTGAGCAGTATTTTATGTTCTGTCTACTAGACAGTGTTTATTTTGTGGCTTCTTATGGCATCCACTCTGGAGGCAAACTCTTTTCACACAGAAATTTGTAAATGTGCAAGCACATGTAGGTCTTCCCTTTCCATGATGTTTATTTCAGTATACAAAAACAAAACAAAACAAAAACTGATACTTTTCAAAGTCTGTTCTTTTGAAAGACATATGCATGGTGTTTGACCATGAAGTATCTGCTATGGGATAGAAACTCGAGTTGAACTTCAGATGATGAATCCTCCATAACTGCCCCCTCCCTGTGATGCCTAGACTCACCATGTGCCTGGGCATGCAATCCTCTCGCACACACCTCATGGGAACACTTGATATTTCACATACTTACAGGTGAGATGATTGACTCTTCTGCCTTCAGCTTCCTGTTGTAATGTTTTTGATTTGCTTTCTCTTACAGATTCTAAGACTGACAGCTATTTCAAGGGAGAGGACCAAGTAAGTACACATCCCTAACTGTCACTGCTTACTTATGCTAGTTAACCATCTGTCTACTTAAGGGTTGTGACTCCTTAAAATGGCATTAAGAATCCTTGTGGGCCGCTTTGCTTCCTTGGGCAGTTCTACCCACTAGGAGCCCCAAGGAGAAGCTGGTTATTTGTCCTTTGTTTTCAAAAAGGTCCTCAGTCTGGACTGATGCAGGTGTTTGTGATTCTGACCTTTCACAAGGACCCTGAGGAGGTTTTCAAAGGAAGGGAGAATTAAACAGCACACTTCAAACATATATGATGGATATGCTGGCAGCATAAAAAAGAGAAAAGGAGTGGAAAGAACTCTTGAGAAGTGGCATTTTTCCTTGCAGTCTGGCTTGTTGGCTATTTATATTGATTCTTGTGAACCAGTTGTCCAGTCTTGCATGTAAATACAATGCAGAGAAACTTGCCAACCTGCTGGGCACTTCTTGAGTTGAAGCTTATGGAAGTGAATCTTTGTGCCTATGCAGGCATGCACGCTTTTAAAACGAGGAGAATCCATGACCAGCCTTAGAGAAAGAAATCAACCCTAAGTCATTTAAAAGCCTGAATAAGGAGAGAGAAGCCAGCAGTTTGCTTTCCTGTCACTAAATAATCATTCTTGACATTAGACAAAGATAACAAAGGATGTCATACTCCTACAGGGATGTAGTGGCATCCCAGAGAGATATGAAACCATAAATTTGTGTCCATGGAATATTTTATCCAATAATTTCTAACTAGTAGTTATTAAAATGGAACTATGCCCACCTGACATTGTGATTTATAGGTCTCCTACACATTGATGGTTTTCTCCGATTTGTGTTTCTGAGGTATAGATTGCCAAGCGGATAAAGCCATTGATTAGAACTGCACCCCTAGGGCAGCTGTCGGTGGAATCAGCAAGTCATAAGAATAAAATGCATTAGTTATAATCCCTGAGCAGTCTTTTGCATTCTGGAGGATTTAAAAGTTTCATTATTTTTCAGTGTTATCAAGGGTTTCATTTTTTTTTTTTTTTTGAGCACACTGGTTAGGTGTTCTTAGTTATTCATAAAAGACACAAAACAAAACAAAACAAAATAAAAAAAAATCACACTGAATTATTTAAAAGCTGATATAGAAAACCCAGTTTTGAACTTTACCACCATGGGATTATAGTGTTTGTTTTTACTCATTTCACAATTCCACTCTGTAATTTCTATTATTAACAAAATGAAACATTGCTAGTGACTTGGTTTCTTAGGGCCTCTGCTTCTTTGATATCAAATGAATTTAAACTAAATGATTATTAAGGTGCTTTCCAGCTCTAAAATATTTGATTGTGTGATATTAACCTAAACCCTACAAAACAGAATTGTAGAAATGATTCCATGATGTACTCATGCCAAATGTGTTTTGCTTCATGGCAAGAATCAAAACTGCAGGAACTGAGTTGTATGGGAGAACTTTTTTTTTCATTCATTAAATTCCAACAAATACAAATTACAAAAAGTGGAAAGGGCAACATTTACTTGGAAGGCTTACACATGACAAAGAAGCTACTTTTTTTTGTTTTTTACATATAGGAGAAGGTAATGATTTTTTGAAGATGAATCAACAGTAATCAGTTATTCATTTAAAGTGCTGGGGGCAGTGCTGTTATTCAATAAATGTAATAACAACAAGAACTAGTATTTTGTTATTTTATAAACTAAAAGGGCATTGCTGTGTAACATATCAAAACCAATATCTCATTATAGGAATGTTAATCAATGTGATAGAAACATGGCAAGTTGTTGTAGAAAGGTATCTTTGATTATCTGTATTTCTATTTCTTCCAAGTTTGTACTAACTCAACGGTTTTTAGAGCAGTGGCTTTGGATAAAGTACAATCTTTTTTTTTTTTATTTTTAAAAATCAATTTTAAAACAGTCCTAAGATATTAAGCTTTTAGCACTTTTCTAAAATTCTGATCTCATCTAAGGAACCAAATGATTAATATTTGAGCACATTTATAGGCTCAATTCTCCAGAAATGTATCCACTGCAAATATCTAACCTTTCTATTTTTTTCACCCAATTTCACAATTTTATGTGGAGGAAAGTGTAAGCTGTCCATGAGTACTCTCATTTTGTTCACTGGATTCAAAATTATTCCCCAACTGCTTTTTCAAATAGTCATTACTAGAACCTTAAGAGGACATAAGTGGACACCATGCCCTCAGGGCCAGTTACTTGTGAAATTCTAGCCTCTTCAACCAACAGAGAAAATTTCCTCTTAACTGCAAATCCACTGATTTTTCTGTACAAATTGTATTTTTTTTTTAGTCAAAGATAGGTAGGCATGCTTATAGGCAAAGTCTTAGTCTTTGTCTATCTATAACACTTGCTTTTTGATTATTAATGCCTATGTTTTTTATTTTATTAATGCTGGGTCATGTTACAGTATTTTGAATTCAAACATTGATTTTGAGCTGTTAAAAAAAAACTTTAAAAAGGAAAGATGCTGAGTTTAATGAGGACTTAAAAATTTATTTAATTGCTCAAAGGGAGTTGATTGTTTCTCCAGTTTTAGATACTACTGGTAATAATTTGAAGTAATTGCTAAGAAATTAGATGCTTAACAGCTACAGCGATGTTGTAAAGTTCAGCACAGATTTCAATAAATAAATGACACGTTTTAAGTAGCACAGATTAAGAACAAAGTTTGAAATGAAATAAAGCAAATATTTTAGTGTCTAGTCAACCAACCAATCAACCAACCAATATACATCTGTAGATTTTGGAGAAATGACAAGACTTCACAAACTGGAAACATAATATTTGCAATATTCCAATACTAATAATGTCCAGGGGAGCAGATTTTCTTTTTTGCATTCTCTTATTTTTACATAATTTTGTCTTGAACAAGAAAACCAATAGATTGAGTAAGGGAAAGTCCAGCATAGTGTTTAAGTGGATACTGAAAATGAGAAACTATATAAAGATATCAAGTGGCATCTGCTACACTACCTAATCTCCACTTTTCCTGCAGGTCTAGGACACATTCCCCTTCTGCTACATTGTGTAGATGCTGCTGATACTAGAAGGGTCTACTTAGAGAAGGTCTTTTGGGCAGATTACTATACTTCCTTGGCAACATGACATAATGCTGATTTCAACATGATGGTAGGCATACCATGCATGTGTGTGTGTGTGTGTATAAGCTTCAACTCAAAAGGCATCTGCACAGCTGTTTTAAGATCCTGGGAAGGGTGGGGTTAGTTTTGATCCAAGAGCCATAGTTCTAACCAAGTATAAGTGTGGCCTCCTGTCTGAGCAAATGCATTTCAGATCCACTCAGTAATAGCGTCTTATTCATTGAGCACTTACATCACTGTTTAAAATGTTATTTCCTTATTCATCACCTTACAAAAGAAAGATGAGAAAGAAAGTACCAGTGTCTAAGAACATATATTCTAGGGTCAAATAGATGTGAGTTTGAATCCTAGCTTCACCATTTGCTTACTGAGTAACTTCAGACAAGAAGTAAACACCTCTGACTCTCAGCATTCTTATCTCTAAAATTGGGTATACTTGAAATAATGCCCAGAAAGATGCTTAGCAGTATATGCAGGGCTTGTTGAATGCTCAAATATAATTTTTATGATATTAATACTTTCAGTGTATAGATGAAGAAACAGGCTTGGAGAAGATATAAATATGTCAAAGATCAAATATTTGCAAGTGATGAAACTAGGATTTGTACCAGTTTGATTCTAAAAATTACCTTTTCAACCATTGTACTGGACTGCTTTCTAACACATATGATTGCTGTCCCTTGGCATCCTTGCTACCCTACTGAAACTCCAGCTTCAAGAAAGAACAAGAGAAAAAGCAATCTTCCCACTGGGAACGGTAGTTGCATTTGTTTCTCCAAATCATCCTCTTGCAATGCCTTGAGACTTGTGATTTCTCATATCCCTTAGGCCAATAAAGGACCCTACACAGCTTAAGAAAAGGCCAGTTACTTGCTTCTAGTCCCCTGACTCCTCAAATACTCTTCAAAAATATCTCTGGGGTTGCTTGCAAGAGGGACCCAGAACGGAGTCTGAGCAGATTGTTTTGGATTCTCTTAGCTTCCACTTGGTCTTGAGCACACCGCCCCCCACCACACATTTTTTTTTAATCTTTTCTCACTATGTGGAGAATCCTACTGTTTCTGGTTGCAATTTTACACCTGTCAGTCCAATGTGACAAAACAGGTGACCATGTCAGGCCCTCATCAACAGCACGTGCCTTTTAGTTACCCAACAGTATATATATTTTTAACATCAGTTTCACAATTCTCTTGAACTTCTAGTCACATTACTCCCTCCTTATTCCCCCCAACACAAACATTTGCAGAATTCTGTGTATAAACAAAACAAAAACCAATCCCAATAAATTGTGCTTTTCCTTTACTAGATAAATACTTTCTCCCATTCCTTAACTGAGGAATGAAATGCAAGATAATATCCCTCATTCATAATGAAAAGGGGGATGGATTTCCTTTGGTGACAGAGTTAAATAGGACTGTACGTGTTTGATTTTGTTTAGAGATCACTATTTAATTTAGGAATGGCTTAAGACCTGAGATTTCTACTATCTTTTACACTAATAAAGTGAGGATCTCATAGGCTTACCGTATCTCTTTTCAGTTTATCTGGTATGTGAAAATCTATTGCATTTGTATCAAAAGCTGAAAAGTTTCTTGACTGTGAAAGCCTTCAAGGTGCAGGAGAGCATCAGCTGCCTAAACTTTTATAACATTCAAGTGTAATTTTTGAGGAGGACAAAAAAACAACGGAATGAGTCTTTCCTTTTATGGGTATAGGAAGGCTTGGGTTCTAACTTGGCAGAGTAGATTCATTCAGAAAAAGAAGGCTCCCTCGGTTTAAATCTCAATTTCTACATCTTTCTTGGGAGATGAAGGCTTTCCCTGTGTGCCTTTCACAATCAAACTGTTGGTTATAGCCTCTCCCCTCCATGGCTTTGAAATCCTCTCCTATTCACATGGTCACAATGAGACAGCCCTGAGGCAGGATGGCAATCGCTTCCTGGGCTCTGGGCTGGCTGGGTTCCACCAGGCGGAAGGGCTTCCAGCCCTAGGCAGGGCTGCCCTTGGATTCACAAATGCCCACCACTTGGCGGAACAACGGCCCTACGCAATCTCCCTGTCCCCAAATAGCCTCTTGCTACATTAACTGCATCATTGATGCATTAAAAAAAAATTAAGTAGCCTTTTTATTCTAAGGCAACCATTTGAAGGAGAAAATATTCAAGACTAGGCTTTGTGACTGTAACTGATAACACTCCTTTTATTTTACTTTATAGATGTGGTCTCTCTGAGCAATGAGAGGCATATCTAGTGTTTGTAAAGAGTTATGCTCTGCATTTTTAGTGCATCATTTGTTAGAAAAAGAACTCAACAAGATTGCTTTGCCCAAAAAAGTCTTTAAAGAACAAGGCTAGTTCAACTCTAATGGAATCAATCAATCACTTGGTTAGTCCCCAAAACACTGGCGGCCTTTGGAAAAGGGGACAGTTGAAAATGTTATGAGTTTCTTGATTTAAACAAAACAAAACAAAAAACTTATGATTACAAAGAGCTAATAAGCAGCCACTGAATTAAGTTGCCCTGTTCAGCTAACAGCTGCTGCCAATGTTCCTAATGCAAAGAGACAAACGAGTTTGACTAGGGTGGGTACATGCACCTGCCTGTCTCCTCAAACTATATGGAATACATCCAGGTGCTCACTGAAAAATGACCCCACTTTCCCAACCTCAGGGGCATCTACCTTGGTTTTAAGCTGAAACGACTTGGGAAGTTCCCACTCCTGTATGCAGATTTCACATGTGTCTGCTGCAGGCAACCCAGGGACAATGCCTCTTGTGTGTGATCCCTGACAGGCAGGACAGATGTAAAAATGGCCATGAGAGCCAGGAGGACTGAGATCATGAATGTTAAAGACCCCCCCCCCCACCCACGTGTGAGGAGGTGTAGGGGACACTGACCTGGAAGATGAGCACTTTGAAATGGTTGCGTCTGAGGAGTTGAGCGTGGTTATTCTCCAGCCGCTTCACCTGTGCGCACTGTCTCTCCATGCGCTCCTTGACAGCGCGAGTGTGGGCGCTGACCTTTCGAGATTTCTCCAGCAACTTGCTCACGGTGTTGCTGGTAGAGGCCTGGTATTTGGAGAGCTTAGTGAGGTCGTTCTGGATGCCCTTCACTGAGCCCTCCAGGCTGATCTGCCGCTGCTCCATCTTGTGCTGGTTCTCTTGCACGGTGTCCAGCATGTTCACCAGCTTGTCTAGGAGCGTGTGCACCGTGACGGCGTTCACCTTCGAGTTGTCCCGGATAGCCTCCTCCGTGCACCCCAGGTTCAGACTGGGGCTTGGTGTGGAGGAGGGAATCGGGCTGGGGCTTGGTGGCTTCTCTTGGCTCATGTCAGAACTCGGGTGCTGGAACTTTTCCGCTTGTGCAGCATCCTCTCCCATGGTTGGACAGATGGGAACAATCTCTCCTGCTGGGAGATTCTTCTTGCTGGGGTGAGAAGGGTGGCGGTGAGGGTGCAGAAAGAGGCCCTCTGGCTTAAGCTCTGAGCACCGCTCTTCAGACTGGCAGAGGTTCAGACAGGCAACAACTGGCTAAGCTGATCAGGGGAACTGCATTCCAGCTGCTCTTAAAGGTCCTACTCCACCCAGTGGGAGGCGAAGGTTACAGAACTGAGAACCACTCAGAGTTCAGAAGCATGCACACACTTCCTTACCACGTTCTCCACTGCACACAGCACTTTGGTGCAGGTTTTGCTTTTCTTTCCTATTCCTCTTCCCCTTTTAAAATAAGTTCAATGCCATATTTCAATCATGACTTCATCTAGAGGCGGAGAAAAACATGCTAAGTTGGCCCAGCTCCACAGCCTCCAATTGGCTAAAGCTAGTAAACTTTTCTCTGGCTGCTACGCTACAGAGACTGTTTTTTCTTCCTGGATACGAGTTATTATAACGGAAAGTATTGTTTGCATTTGCCCAAGAACTGACTGATAGGTTGCAGAACACTGGGTGCCCTAGTGGGAGGGGTACAGTTTAAAAAATATGTGCAGCCAAGTTTGTGTTGTAAATTTCTCATTTGCAGAGAAGTGGAAGTTCTGATAATGACAAGGAAAACAGCCCAGTTCTTCCTTTTATTCTTGCAATCAGGGATGCAGTGGAAGTTGAAAGAGACTGAACTTCAGGGTTGGTAAAATAATCAATATTATGGAATATTGTCATAGTGTTTTTTGAATGACCACTTTTTTTTTTTTTTGAGAAGCCTTTTGCCCTCCCCAAAGTGGTTCCTTTAAAAAGCTAAATGCTTTTTTGGTTTTACCTAATTTTGAACCCATGGTGAAAGATCTTTTCAAATGCGCATCTCTGCAAGGCATTTATTGACACGTGCCCAGAAGTGTGACTGCAGGCCGGTTGAGCCGGAGTGTTCCTAATGTTTGACATTTCCAAATTCCTGCTCAGTGAAGTGGCACACCTGTTCGCAAACCTAGTCCTCCTTAGCTGAGCCCTAGGGACATGGGGCTTATTTCCTAAAACGACTTTACATGCTTGAATTGGTTTTAAATGTATCCAGTCTTTGAAAGTGGAAGGAAGTTTGTAGCAGGTCTTCTATGAAAAGTTTAGAGAAGAATAAGTGCTAGCCCATATTGGGTCAGGGATTGATAATGGAACAATGCTATTCTTCAATGGCAATATCTGCATGTAAGCCTATCAATCAGCAGGTCATTTGCTGTCTCATTTGTTGAATTTCTATCTTCTGTTATCTGTAGCATCCAGGGAATATTTATAAAGCCTGACCCAAGACCCCACCCTTAATGAATATATCTGCTAGTTAGGAAGATGAGTTGAAGACATGTACCGAGGTCCTCAATTTCCTCAGATAACTGATACCCACTTAAAGTGAATACTTAAAAATAGGAATCAAAAAGGTAAGAAGATTTGATGAGACTTTTATCCTTTAAAAAATAAAGCAATTATTAAAATTAATTTAACTTATATTAAAAAAATTCAGTTGGTCAGGGGTGTGTTAAATATTAGAACAAAAGTTGAATCAAGTGTTGGTTTCGAGAAGTTAAATTTTCTAACAAAATTATTCAGTATCGCGATACCATGTCCTTCTGCATTTGACTTCTGTGGGCAAATCATAAAAAGTGTCATTATTTCAAAAATATTTGAGGGCTTCATCAATTTTCCAAGAGCCTCTCTTGAATTTTGACATTCAAATCATTTCCTTTTGAAGCACTTATTGTACATCTTCCACGTGGATTTTTTTTATCTTCTTCAAAATGTTAACTATTCCAGCTGCAGATTTTCATTTGTCAGAAGAGTTGCCCATGATTCAAGGGCTTTTCTAACATTACCTTCATCAACTTTATGATTTTCTACACATTTTGCAAGATGATTTCACATTATAATCACTTCACCCTGATTTTGCCTTGATTTGCACAGATTTTGCATTGCATTGTTGGAGATTATATAATCAGCTGGATAAATAGAGATGTTAGGGAGATGGAATGTAAGGTGGGAAAGGAGAGAGGTTCTTTCTTAAGAAGAAGAATTATTTACATGTACACTTATTTATTTTTTAAAATTAATTTTGAATAATGAAACTATAGCAGTAATCTATTGCTGTGTAACAAATCAGCCTGAAACCCAGTGGCTTGAAGTACCAGTCATTTTATTTACTGATGGTTCTGTGGCTGGCTAGGCAAGGCTCAGCTGGAATGGGTCATCTCCACTGGGCATGCTCATTCAGCTGTAGTTTGGGGGGATGAATACAAGATTGCCCTATTCACATTTCTGATGCTTCAGCTGAGATAACTAGAATACTGAGTCTTCTCTTTTAGCCTCCAGAAACTCTGTCTGATCCTTTAGAAGGAAGCCAGATTTCTTCATGTGCTGCCTCATATCCTAAGGAAATAGATGCAAAATTTGCAAGCACTCTTAGAAAGGGTAGGCTCTGGAACACTCCCTTGTCACTTCCACCACAGTCTATGGTCCAAGCGAGTCACAGGCCAAGCTCAGATTCAAGCGAATGGGATAGACGCCACAAAGTTATGAGGGGAGCAGCAACCTTTCCCATGGCAAAATGGGAAGCAGCATGAGAGAGATTGCTATAGTCATCCTTGGAAACAATCTACCTCAATGCAAATGTTTTCTTTTAGAAGGCTGTTACAGATAAAAATAAAGGCCTTTGGCCACAATTTCCATTCCATATTCCTTTCTCTTTTATTTGAAGTAATTATTTTTGTGAATATGTTGTCCAGCCTAGTAATCATGGGAATTATAAAGAGCTATGGTGTGCAAACCCTCCTGCCCTGTAAAAGACAGCATGTATCATAGTTAGTAATAGATGCAGACTCTAAAGGCAGCAAGAGCTAATATAAGGATAAAGCACACAACCAAAGAAAACGCCATTAATGAATTAGAATTTGAGGTAACTCTATGTATCCGAATTCACCATTTAGTTCTCCTAAATTACATCCTATTTCTGATAGAAATTGGTAACATTTTTTCTACAGGAAAAATTTTTAAAATTGAATCTAACAATTACATACTATGAAGTTTCTTGGAAATTAAGTAGCAAAGTTTAGACCTAATACAGTGACAGATAAAGGACTCCTGGAAGTGAAAGTGACTTGTTAAAGAATAATGACTGAAACAACAGAATGCAAGAGGGTGGGGGGAGCTCAATAGCCTTGGGAAATAAGTTTGAGGCACTGGGGATGTAAAGATGAACTTATTTGCTCACCTTTGCAAGATTCTGACTTAATGGCAGGTAGGTAAATAAGGGTATATATATACACACACACACACACACACACACAGGGGTGGCAACTAGAGAGGGGCTCAACTCTGCTCCCATCCAGGAATGTGAGGGCAGGACAGGTTATATTTGGGAACTTTAATCTTCTAGTTGACCACCAGCTGCCTACTTTTACCTTAGGTGTGCAAGTCACATAAGCATACAGGTTGCTCTAGGAAAATGCCTACTTTGTTACTGGCCAAGGCATTGGTCCCAAGATCTGTATGGTCTTCCATACAAAATACTTAGAAGCTGGGCATGCTGGTGCACACCAGTGATTCCAGTGGCTTGGTAGGCTGAGATAGGAGGATTGCAAGTTCAAGGCTAGCCTCAGCAACTCAGTGAGGCCTTAAGCAATTTAGCAAGACCCCATCTCAAAGAAAATAAATAAATAAATGGAAAGGTCTGGGGATGTGGTTCAGTGATAAAGATCCCCTGGGTTCAACCCCCAGTACCAAAACCAAACAAATAAACAACAACAACAAAACGAAAAATGAAAAACATAAAACAAACAAAAACAACTACTTAGAGAAGTACTACTCACTTATTTGAGGCAGCTTAGTAGCCTCCTTGCTTGGCCCATGCATTGTTGGTGTAATTAATTATGACAATGATTGGAGTCCTGGAATGAGCCAGGAAATGGAAAGTCTTTTTTTCCCAGGGGCTAATGAGGCAGAGAAATCTAAGCTGGCTACTCCATGTATCTTTTCCTCTGGATCCCCATATTGGACTTCAACAAATTTTCAAAGGTTGGGTTGCCTCTTAAGTAGGAAGCAATGTTGGGGTTGGATGAGTGAGTTAACCATACGAGCAGAAAGAAAAAACAACATAATGACATCCACAGTCTCTACGTTTTAAGATAGTTTACGTGCAATAATAGATAACCAGGAATATGCAATTCTTTAAGAATTATTGTTAACAGTCTTTATTTATTCCCTGAACCCCTCTGTCTAATACTTTTTAAACATATTACTATTCTTAAAGCTTAACTTGTAAGATTACATTATAAAACAAAGGGCTTTGTGAAAATATTCTTACTTAAAGAAAAGTCTAATGTGGGGCTAAATACCAAAAATGGTGGGATAAAGGCATGTTACTAAGATAAAATGGATTAGACAGAAAGCAGGGTGGGGTTGAAGGATATCTGACTGCATCTTGGTGAATCAGATGTACCTTGAATCCTGTACCAACTGCGCCCTGCAGTGGGTACAGGCAGAAAGTAAGGGGGCAGTTTTTGGAAAATCCTGAAGGTCCTCTCTGTACCTTATCCTTTGCCAAAGTAGTGCAGAGTGAAAAAATTATTCACTTTCACTAGGAATATTAATGATGAAAAGCACATGAATACATGACTCTAATCTTTCCCAAAGTCCCCATAATAACCCATCAATGATAACAACAGAGCAAGGTAAAAGGAATTGCTGTCTAAATGTGTGATAAAGCAAAAATAATATAGAATGTTGGCATTTAAGATAGATTTCACCCACTCTCTATGGGCTGTCACTTTAGGAACTCTAAGATTTTCAAAAATTCCAGATGGGCTTGTGTTCTCAAGGCCTTCTCTGGCTCTTTGGTGCACATGATCCCATGTACCATCTTGAACTTCTCCATATCTGCCCAGTTGTGAACCCTGACCTTTCTTTAAGCATTATACAATCTACTCAAGGTATTCATCCTGAGTGTAGCAGATGTTAATGGCATTTCAGGGTCATAGTTGGGATGATTTCTGACATCTTGCTGGGTCTTCTGTTCCTAGGTGTCTGTCTTGTTTCCTCCTTGGTTCTCTCACT